TGCTGCTGCTGCTGCTGCTGCCACCGTCACTGGGAGGTCGTGGATGTGGAGCCTCCGCTCTGTGCTCCTCTTCTCTCCTCCGCCTTGTTGTCTTTTCTCCGGGCATCATGTCTTTTGGCACCAACAGTAAAACCGGATTCTCCGTGCGTGACATCCTGGATCTCCATGATCCGACCGGACGGTTCAACAGCAGTAAAGCTGGAGGTGCTGCAGGGGCAGGAGGTGCAGGAGGTGCTGCTGACCCCGGGACCGAGGAGACTCAGGGGGGAGACCCTGAGTCTCAGCAGAGAGTTGCATTTAGTGGCGGCAGCGCTGAATCTGGAGGTGGAGGAGGAGGTGAAGGAGGTGGCGGAGGGGGAGTCCTGTGCGGGTGGAGCCGCGGCTCAGACCTTCACTTCTCACGTGAGGAGTTTTAAATTAAACTTTCACATTTTTCTGTCTAAAATGTATATTTTCTGTTCAGTTTAAATATTTTAAAGCGTTGACCTTTGACCTTCAGCTCATCCTCAGCAGCTCGGCTCAGTCACACACACACACACAGAAACACAAAATGAACTTGTGATGTGAAGAAAATCAGCCGCGGCAGCAGCGCTGTCCATGGTGCTGAAGTACAGACCAGACAAAGACTGAAAAACTGAAAAGACTGGAGGAGAGGGGGGGTCGGGGGGGGGTGAAGGTAGAGGATCATCCGAGTTTGAAGAACGGATCTACAACATCTTCCAAACTGATGAGGAGAAGATCAGATGAACTTCCTGGTCAAAGGAAACTGACCTGAGATGATGACATCATCTTGACCTCTGACCCTAACCTCTGTAAAAATAGAAACATCTCTGTCGTCACACTTTGACACAGCATTAATGCGAAGTGTTTGTTTTTTTCTTTCTTCTAAAAAGTAATCAGATTACTTCTCTTCCCGCCCTGCAGTCCACGGACTCTCTTTAAAGTCTCGTCCAGAGTCCAAACCTCCGGACCTGCTCAGAGATCCAGGACGGGGCTCAGCGGCTGCGGGGCCGCAGAAGAGCCGCAGCTGCAGCAGGAAGCGGCGGGTTCTCTTCTCCAAGGCCCAGACCCTGGAGCTGGAGCGGCGCTTCCGGCAGCAGCGCTACCTGTCGGCGCCGGAGAGGGAGCAGCTGGCCGGTCTGATCCGCCTCACCCCGAACCAGGTCAAGATCTGGTTCCAGAACCACCGCTACAAGATGAAGCGAGCGCAGGCCGAGCGCGGTCTGCAGGAGGCGCTGCAGCTGCTGCCGACACGCCGGCTCGCGATCCCGGTGCTGGTCCGGGACGGCAGGTCCTGCTGCGACCGCAGCTCAGCGGCGGCGGCGCAGGTCGACCTGCAGGCGGCGCAGTTCCGCCACAGGAGCGGGCTGGGCCTCCCTCTGTGCGCGTACACGCCGCTGCTTCACGCGGCCTGCGGCCCGCAGCAGCCCGGTCTGCCGCAGCCGCTGGCCCACATTTACCAGTGGAGCTGGTGAAGCCGGAACACGTGACGAACGAACCCGAGGTCATCGTCGAGTCCGAGGTTCTGAGCTGAACACGTGTTTGGTTCGAAAACAGAGAAAATGTTCCCGTTGTTATTGGAAGTGTTTTATTGTCACGTGACCCCGGCTGCTCCACTGATGATTATTAATTATTCTATTTACTGTTGTCTGAGCCCAGTGTTTTATATCGAGCTATTTATGGTGTTGATGACGTCAGCTGTTTTGTAATAAATTGATATTTATGGTGGTGAGATTTGTGATTTATCTTGTCGAATATTTTATTAATTTAAACAACTGTAACAAGTGTAATATTATTATTACTACTGATAAGAAACAAATATATTTTATACATAAATACATTAACAAAATTAGACGACGAAAATTTGAATCAAAATATGATTATTATTGTTATTATTCATATTATTAACTGCTCATTTAAAAAGCTGCGGCAGGATTTACTCCTAGCGGCCGGCAGGTGGCGACAAAGACCTAATAACAATCTGATCTTTTTAAACTTTTAAAACAAAAACTTTTCATAAAGTTTTAAAATAAGAAATTAAGAACAAGAATCAGTTCATTTAAGTCTAATTTAACAGAGAGGAGAAGGAGAAGGAGGAGAAGGAGGAGAAGGAGGAGAAGGAGGAGAAGGAGGAGGAAAAAAACGACAGTCAAAGTGAAGCTGGAAGGAAAGAGACAGAGGAGAGAGGATGAAGAAGGTCATTGGTTGAAGGACTGTCCAGGGTGTGACCCCGACCCCCCCCACTCCTACAGCCCCCGCCCCTCACCCATAAAAAATAAACAATGAATAAATGTTTTATTATCTTAGCTGCCATACCTCATTTCACCACTTGATGTCACTACATCTTACACATTGTGGCCTCGTTGTTCCTGAGAAAACACGACAAAACTGATCTGAGTCCTGAAGTCTGACCAGGGACTGCTGGGAATGATGTGATAGGAGGTGGAGGAGGAAGAGGAGGAGGAGGAGAGAGCGGAGAATGTCTGTGACGTCACGGTTCTGTCCGTGTGGCTCCGCCCTCTTCCATGTGCTCCTGTTTGGGTCCAGACTCTGAGAGAGTCTAGACTGAGAGTCCAGCAGAGTCCACACCAAACCTGGTCTCAGTCAAAGTCCTGCTGCAGGAACCAGGACCAGAGACCAGAGACCACCGTCACCATCCTGGTCCTCCTCCTCCTCCGCAGCACCAGGGGCCACGGCCGGGGCCCCCACCATGTCCACCCCGTTTCTAGTCACTGACCTCCTGATGGAGGAGACTTACCGCAGGTTCGGGTCCATGGACTCCGCTGCAGGAGGCCTCGGGCCCCCGCTGGGCTCCTACCGTCACCCGCAGGTCTCTCAGCCCGGGGTCCAGCCGCAGCAGCCGCAGCAGCAGCAGCAGCAGCTCCTTCCTCCTCCTCACCTCCACCATCATCACATGTCCTCCTCTTCCTCCACCTCCTCCGGCTCCGGGCCCTACCACCATCACCACCACCACGGGCCGCACACGGTGCCGCAGTTCTCCGCGGCCGTGGGAAGCTTCTGTAACGGCGCGGAGCTGCCGTCCTACCAGGAGGCCGCGAGAGGAGCAGCGGGAGCCGCAGGAGCAGGAGGAGCAGCGTGGTACAGCAACCCGGAGCCACGATACCCGACAAGTAAGAGAGGAGGAGAAACTTTATTGGTTTTGTTAAAATGTCCGAAGAAAAGAAGAAGAAACTTTAACGAAAAGAACGAAAGTCCACCAGAGAAATTTCCCCTAAAATGTAGACGGAAAAAAACCCCTAACTCTAACCAGCACAAAGTACTACATTAAAAAAACACCTAAAAATAAAAGCGTTGCAAAATAAAATTTAAAAAAGTACTTAAATAATAAAGTACTTGAAACTGTGAAGAGTTCAAATGATCCGAGGTTGAGAAATGAGGCCGGAGATAAAAAAAAAAGAAAAAGAAATTAAAGTAATTTAGTTTAAATTCAATTTAATAAATAAACCAGAGTGTAAATGTGACCAGAAGTTGAACTTACAGTAAAAACGTTTATTTACAGGAGAAAATGAACAAACCTTTTATTGACGTTCGGGGGAAAAAACGGCGCGGATTTTTCTCCCCGATTATTTTAGACAAAATAAATTATTTTAATTTCCGGTTCTTTTAAAATCTGTCGAGTTGTTTCCAAAACAGTGTTTATAGAACGGGTTCTATTAAAAATAAAACAAAAGATACGAAAAGAAAACGTGGCGAATGTTGGTTGTTAGTTTTTCATGAAGAAAATCAGAAACTGGAAAAATTAAAGATTTAAAGATAAAAAAATAATCACATTTAAATAATAAAAAGTAACTAAAATGATGGACTTTCCTGTAACAACAAAGAACATATATATTTAACTTTTTTTTTTACTGACGACTTCAAGGTTTGAGTTCAAGTTAAAACGTTTGTCGAGGAAACCGACGGTCCGTTCTGGATCTTTCTGTCACCGACAGGACGAACTGTAGGTACAGTATATAACCGCAGAATAAAAACTCAAATCAGATTCGATTTGAGTTTTTATTCTGATTCTAACATAACTACATACATACATATATACACATATATACACATATATATATACACACACATGAACCCAGGGCTGAAACCCTCTGAGCCGCGGTCACAAGGGAATGTGTTAAAATAACCACGTGATAAAAACGGCAGTGACGTGAGTTTAACGGTGATTTTGGGATCATCTGGAGTCACGTTTAATGATAACGATAATAATTATAATAATTAAAAAATCCCATTGAATATTTCTTTATTTAAAACACACAAAGGTGAACGTCTGTAGTTGAAAATTCAGAAACAAAAACATTTCTATTTGATCAAAAACATTAAACACGACTTTTACACTGCGTGAAAAATAAATGATACCAACAATAATTATTATATAAACCTGCTGAGTTTGTGTTCGATCTATATCTACATCTATATTAACTTCTCAGCAGTTTGAAACGAGGTTGACTTAAAATTATTTTTTATTTCATTTCCAAATGTCGCTAGAACTGAGGTTTGATGTTTAAATATTGGAACTTTTCTTCTTGTTCTTTTTTAGTCTTTTCTAATTTTGTTTTTTTCTCTACGTTGGACAAAGAATTCAAGTGGATTAAAAATAAAAACCGATTCTTTACCTTCAATAATCTACGGTTTTTTAAACTCCAATTTCTGACTTTGATAAAAACCAAATGATTATTTTTGTTTTTGTTCGATGATCGACGAACACCGAGAACAAATAACATTTATTCAAATGCATTTTCCTTTTTTTTTCCGTTTAACTTTGAACAGATTCACGTTCAAAATTAAATTTGACCGATGATAAAGTTTATATTTAAATAAAACTTTCAGAAATTCAGAGATGTTTTTAAAACATTTGAAATATTTTCTCAGTTTTTACATAAATTAAATCGTTTCCTGCTTTAACTCAATTTAAATGATATTTCTATCAAATTATTTTCTATTTCGTCTCAAACTTCAGCCTAAATAAATGTCGATGTTTATCTTTTCTTCTTCTTCTGCCCCAGTCTCCAGGTTCTTGCCCCCCCCCTCAGGCATCAACATTAACGGGATGGTCACCGGCCTCACTGACTGCGCCGCCAAGTCCGTGGTCGCGCTTCACGCCGCCGCCGCCGCGGCCTCCGCACCGCGACGCAAGCGGCGGGTTCTCTTCTCTCAGGCGCAGGTGTTCGAGCTGGAGCGACGCTTCAAGCAGCAGCGCTACCTGTCGGCGCCGGAGAGGGAGCAGCTGGCCGGTCTGATCCACCTCAGTCCGAACCAGGTCAAGATCTGGTTCCAGAACCACCGCTACAAACTGAAGCGTCAGGCCAAGGACAAGGCCGCGCAGCAGCAGGATGAGGAGGAGGAGAGGGAGCGGGAGCAGGAGCGGGAGCACGAGGAGGACCGAGGAGGTGAAAGTGGACTCTGTGAAACAACGCGCCGCTCCTCCTCCTCCTCTTCCTCCCTCTCCTCAGTGTCTCCACTTCTCTCCAAGACTGGAAAAAGCTGTGGGGTCGACTCCGCAGGGGCCGCTGACCTGAGGCGGCAGCAGCTCTCCTCCTCCGCCGAGGAGATGGAGGACTTGTCTCCCTGTAGTCCACCTCCTCCTCCACATGGACTCCTGCATGATCATCACATGACCCAGACGGACGCGGCCTTGATGGACTACAGCAGCATGGTGGGGTCCGGTCTACTCTACGGTAGAACCTGGTAATGAGAGGAGGAGCAGGGAGGAGGAGCAGGGAGGAGGAGCAGGGAGGAGGAGACACGGTCTGAAAACCAGAGACAACCCTGGCTACGAAGAACCGTGTAGAACTCCTGACCAACACTGGGACAAAATAAAGTTCAGATAAAATAAACTGCTTCTGGTTCTGACCAATTTTATAATTTTATATTTCAGTTGAACTCCACAAAAATAAAGACGCTGTGAACTCATTCTGAACCAGATCCACAACAGCTGGTACCGAGTCCAGCTGGTACCGAGTCACATCCCTGCTGTTCTTTAAACCACGACCACAAATAAAAATCAAAGACTTTTGATCAAGTGGACTTTTACAGACTTTTGTCCGTTTTCTAACCGTTGCCGACGGAGACTCAGTTTTAGACTGAAGTCCTGTCTGTCAGGCTCAGAGGTCAGAGGTCAAGTGTCAGGTACATACTTCACTGACAGACAGAATGTTCTGGAGTTTCTGTTCCACCTGAGAAGAAGAAACTAAAAGTCAATAAAACTGAAAGAACACAGTGAAACTGAACGATTATGTAAAAAAAAAAGATTTCACGACTGTAAATATTATGGTTGAGATTTTCATCTTTTAATTCTCGTTCTTACAGAGCGTAAAAAACAGACAAGGTTTAAAATGTCTGTTTATTCCTGTCATCGTTGAACCACAGACTTTTTTGGAGATTTTCTCTCAGACACCGACGACACTGACTTGTAAATATGAAGATTTAAACAAATTCAACTTCATTAAAAAAAACGTTTTTCTTCTTTAACGTCAGGTTGAAAAAAAAAATTCTATTGTACAGAATGACAATAAAATTAAAAACAAAAACAAAAAGATTCTCCTAAAAAGGTCTCAGATCACTTCCAGGTGTAACGTTTGGACGGAGGAGGGGGGGGGAAACCAGAGGTGTAGCCCTGGAACACACAGAAGATAAACAGTGAAACCATGGAAACCACGGGCAACAAAAACAACACCGTCACTAACAGTTAGCTCCAGTTAGCTTCAGTTAGCTTCAGTTAGCTCCAGATAGCTTCAGTTAGCTCCAGTAAGCTTCAGTTAGCTCCAGATAGCTTCAGTTAGCTCCCGTTAGCTTCAGTTAGCTCCAGATAGCTTCAGTTAGCTCCAGATAGCTTCAGTTAGCTCCAGTAAGCTTCAGTTAGCTCCAGTTAGCTTCAGTTAGCTCCCGTTAGCTTCAGTTAGCTTCAGTTAGCTCCAGTTAGCGTCAATAAGAATAATTACCACTGGACCCTGTGACTCAGACCCTGGTTAAATATTGATCTAGTACTTCACCGTAGTACTCAGGAGTATTACACACTATATATATATATATATTCATGAATACTGTGAAATACTCCACAACTCACCTGACGATGCTGTGGCTGCTGCCCCCTGCTGTCTCTGGGATCGTGCCAGTTGTCTCGTGGATGACTGTGGCGCTGCTGGTACCCGCCACCGCCGCCGCCGCCACCACCGCTGCTGCCACTGCTGCTGCCGCCCCTGCTGCTTCCGCCGCCACCGCTGCTTCCGCCGCCACCCCAGCCACGGTTCATGTTCTGCTGATACGCCGAGTGCTGCGACTGCATGGCCCGGTCCCAGCCGTGAGCTCCAGAACCTCGATGCTGCTGCTGCTGCTGCCTGGAACCACATCAGCAGAGTTAGGGTTCTGGACTCACTCACCGACTCATCGATGGTTGAACAAGAACTGACTGAATCAAAAAACTCTGTCCGTGGTCCTGAACCACAGACACTTCAACAACTGAGGGAACCACAAACTGACACGAGTCAGGAGAACGTTAGCGTTGGTGGTCGTCAGGAGAACGTTAGCGTTGGTGGTCGTCAGGAGAACGTTAGCG